CAGAGATCCACCTGCCTCTGCCTCCCAAGTGCTGGACCACAGGTCTGCACGGCCATGCCCAGCTTTCCATCTTTGATTTTTTTAAGAACTTCATTCATCTGACTCAAACGATTCTAACTCCAACAAATTAAATTTATGTAATGGCAAATCTTCAATCATTTTAGATGTTCCAAAACTACAGATACAGGTGAGATTTCAACTTAAAATTCAATGGAAATACTCAATATTTTTAATTTAAAAAGTTGATGTTACACAACAGACCAGGCTGGCCTCAAACACAGATTCACCTGCCTCTGCCTCCCAGAAGTGCTGATTAAAGGTGTGTGCCATCACACCCTGTGGTAACATGTCAAAACAAAAATTTTGGCCAGGATGAGTTCATACCCTACATACCCTACATAGTAAGTTCCAGGCCAGGTGGGGCTACAGAGATCCTGTCTCAAAAAGACCCCCCAAAAAAATACCCCCACAGATTTTGATAATCCCAACACTTGGAATTCTGAGTCAGGAGGATTTAAAACGGCATTCAAGGACTGAAGTGATGACTCAGTAGTTAAGAGCACTGGTTGCTCTTGCAGAGGACCCAGGTTCAATTCCCAACACCCATATGATAGCTAACAATCATTCATAACTCCAGTTCCAGGGGAATCTGACACCCTCTTCTGACCTCTGTGGGCAATGCATGCCACATGTGCACTTACACACATGCAGGCAATATACTCATATAAATGAAATAAAAATAAATAAAAGAGAGCATTCAAAACCTTCCTGGGTTATGAGCCCATCTCAAAGGAAAAACACAAATCAAAAACAAAACAAAACCTACATAGATTACTTTAAGCAAAGAAACGATGTGGGCTTGATGCTATTAAACATGCCTAGCCTTTGTTCTAAGGCTTCCACCATTAAAAGATGCGTCTCTACAACGGAAGCAACTAGGCCACCCTATCTATTCGGGGTTACTTTCTCAGGTGGCTGAGATTATAAAATAGCCAGAAACATTGGTGAGGCCACTGACAAGACTCTGAAGGGCCCCAGAAACCTCTATTTAAGCCTGGTCATAGGGTCTCCACTATAGATCAATGCTGTCAGTCAGCCCACTTGGGTTGAATGCAGCCCACTGCATTCTGGGTACTTCTGCATCTCACTATACTTTCTCACATAAATGTAGAATCCCACTTGGGTGATTACTACATATCTTGACTGGGTGGTACATTTTCTTAGTTCTGAAAATAATTAAATGTCTCCTCACTTTAATAAAACTTTATTTTCTTCCTTTAAAAATTTTTATTTTAGTTATTTTGAAAGAAGGTCTCCCTGTAGTCCCAGCTGGCCTGGAATTTGTTATGAAGACCAAGCTGGCCTTGATCTCAGAGATCTGCCTGTTGGAGTGCTGGGATCAAGGGCATGTGGCACCACACTCAGCTTCTTTTCTTCCTTTCTTGGCAAACCCACCACTTCTCAGATGAAACCTGGCTGACTCCAAGATCTCTCCCAACCTTGACCTAGAGTCACTCACTACTCCTAAGATTCTGCTGACAATACTTGTCTCTACTAGTTGTGCTGTCTTCACCTGGCTTTTCCCTACAGCACTTAGTGGGACCCACCTTCCTGGGATTTACCTCAGGCTTACTCCAGGCACACTATCCACACGAAGACTCCACGTCCAATCCTGTAGTCCTATCCCCTCCTCATGACTCTTCTGTTTATACTCTCTTGGGACCACACCCCAGAAAAAGAAGGAAAATTTGGTATTAGTCATGCTAAGACACAGATAACTAAGTGTTCCCTTTACTGCTAGATGAACAAGATGCCTCCGAAGGTGAAAAAAAATGAAAGGACACTAACATTTATTATGCCCTGAGTGGGCACTAGGCACTGTGTTCACGGTTTCACTTGTTATCCATTCCCATTAGTCACATGAGGGGACCTGTTAAAATAGCAAACTTCAGAGACAGTGTTGGGAACTTTCATACATTGTCCCACTAGGCCTGAAAGGAAGGTAGTAGCCCTGTGCTGCGTGTGCCACACTTAGGTTCACTGTCCCTGAAATTCACGTTCTTCCCACTTGGCGGCCACGTCCTGCACACAGTCTCCTGCCCCTCTTTTTGTTCTGGGGATGAGACAGCAATCCAGAGCCTAGATCTCCATTTGTGGTCCTCAAGATTTTGCCCTAGCAGAACCCTCTTTGACTCCAACCCTGCTTTATATACTTCTAGTTCCTTCTACTACCTTATTTTAACATTTTGCTTTCTGTACCCCAAGTCGCCTCTCCTGAGATTACTTTGAGAACAGTATCCAGAAAAATCACAGTAGGGTCAGAAACACTCTGCTGTCAGCACTTTCTCTTCATGCACCAATACAATATTTCATAATAAATGTATTTCTCAAGTGCTCACCCTGAGCTGGGGGAGGGAAGAGGTCTGAAAACATTCTCATAAACCCTCACAACAATGATGTGATTTCACAACCTTACAGGGAAGAAACTAAGGCCCAGAGATGTTAACTTACCTGAGGTTAGGGTTAGAAGTGGCAAGTGGGAATTCAAACCCAGGCATCATCTCCAAAGCCTCCACTTGTACATCATCAAGCTCTGTGAGAACAATGGCCATGCTAATTATAGAGTGGATAGTTTTGTTCAACATGGTCAGAAATAAAAATTCAAAAACATGTAGAAGCAATCTTTTCAAGCCTGTGGTGATCTGCCTGTATACTAGCATGAGAGCCTGCACCGACTTATTTTCCAGCATTGTGGCCTACTGTACCTCCTGCATACATCAGTGTCTCCTTCCAGCCCTTGACTACTGTCACCAGCTAATACAAACCTTCAGGCAGTTTTCTTATTCCTGGAAGTGGGGAAGGGGTGTAAGGTCTGGTATCTTTTGTTTTTACTTTGTTCTGGCTATGTTTAATATTGTAGAAAATAGATTTTGTGAGATCACTGCCCAGTGATAGAAGTGATAATAGGGTTCTGTGAGAGTCAGAGGTCCTGCATTCATAAGGGAAAGGGAATTCCTTGAGCAGGAATGAAGGCTCAAACTTGTGCCTTGCTCAAGAACTGACAAGTAGGCATGCCCTGAGACTAGACCTTAGCTGGGTAGCTAGTTGGAGAAGAGGTAGACTTCAGTAAAGACAGAAGGCTGGGGCCTCAGGAAGCTTGGGAAGATGGCTAAGCTCTTTCTATGGTCATCCCTGTGCTAAACCTTTCTTTACTTACTTTGTTTCATGTAACCCTCACAAGGTATGTACTTCCGAAGAAGCCAAGTGTCGAGTCTGTTGTTCGTCCAAGGTCATACAGAATGGCAGACCCAGCAGTAAGGAAAGTCTTCGTGCTCAACCACCCCCCTACATTGCATTTCACACTGTAAGTACTCAAATGGAATAAAAACCTGGCCCAGACATGCCTTAGATTTTAGGTTAATGTGCAGAGCTTCCCTAAAGACAGGACTGACCTTAATGACCAGTGAGTAAATTGTAAGCAAACAATAAACCAACAAAATCAGTTAGTGCTACAGAGAAAGCAGCCAAGGCCCAGAGCCAGAGTTATCTTGAAAGAGGTGACTACAAGGTAACTCTGAATGGCCTGCAGCCCAGAGGCATGGCTTGGCACAAGGCATCTTCTCCCATGGGGCTTGCGCCAGTCTTTAAGGTGAGAGGATGAGTGGCTATGGTGGGAGGGGACTGGTTCAGTGAGATAAAGGGGGCAGCTAGGAGTGATGTGAGCCTAAAAGACAACAGTCAGATTCCACTGTGGAAGATGCTGGGAATTCCAGCCAACCAGAATACATCTCAGGTTGAAGTCTGGGTAATTTGATTCAGCACCTTTTCTAAATGGTCTGGTTCTGAGGCTAATGTCTATGAGAACAGCGGAGCACTTGAAACAAGCAAGTCCAATCCATCTGCCCTCCAAGACAAATGTGAGCCAGCAACCAGAGTTGTAGATTTCTGTGACTAACCAAAGGGTTTTTTTAAATATGGGGGGGAGGGTCTATCATCTGGCCTTTCCCTTTGGAATGGTTCACAGCAAACCCCTTAAAACAAGGAGCAACCTTTGTCTCTGGGCCAGGCAAAAGAGAAACCCAAGAAGAAACATACCTTCTACTTTTCCCAAAATTCCTAGGTAGCAATTTATCTTCCAGAAATCAGCTTAGACTGTCATTTCCTACAGAAGGCCTGCCCTACTGTGCTTTTCCAAACCTCCTTAATTCTCCCACTAAACTGAGAACACCCAGTAGAAGGGACTAGTATGGTGCCTGGAAAAGAAGCACTCAACAAATGGTACCTATTTCTGTTTTTGCTTTCTGAGACAGGGTCTCCCTGTAGCTCCCAGCTTGCCTGGAACTACGTAGACCAGGCAGGCCTTGATCTCACAGATATCTCCACCTCTGTCTCCCAGGTGCTGGGATTAAAGGTGTGAACCACCATGCCTAGCTTCAAAATGGTACCTGTTACTACCCACCCATTTTTCTCAATTCTAATGCCCCTCTGCCCTAGAACAATTTTAACACACTTTTAATTTAAATAGTGAATGGCATAAAAGTGAACCAAAGATGCCTCATCTGTCATACTATTTCTTCCAAAGGAATTTAAATGGCAGTGGCAACAGGGTCCTTGAAAGAGTCAAAGGTCCCTGAGAAGGGGTAGGGACTGGTACCATGAGCAGGCATGGATTAGACCCATGTTCACCCTTAGGAGCAAACCACAAGGCAGCTTTAGGTGGAATATGAAACCACTTAGCTCCCACAGCCTGTCAGTGAGGAGAGCTCAGACCTGACAGCCCCTCCCCAAGGTTCAGGTTGCTCTGTGAAGCAGGAGTCTGGCTCATCAGGCAGAAGAGGTATCAATTTAGATACAAAGACTTCTGTCTGCCCCCAACTCAATACCAGACCCTTGGGTGGGGGTGTCTTTCTTCTTCTTTTCCCTATGCTTTTCTCAAGAGGATGTTATTGGTGATTTGTTATACATCACTGAAGCCAAGTCTTTAAATAAGTCACATAATATAACCACCACCACAGTCATTTATTAAGTGCTTGCCAGGCACTGTGCTAAAGCTTTACAGACATTGTTTCAGTTAATCCAACAACTCTGAGGTAGATATTTTCAAAATCCTTCCCCCCACACATATGATTATAGTTAAGGAAACTGAGACTCACAAGTGTCTTAGTAATCAACCAAGGTCAAACCCAGCTGGTAAGTAGCAAAGCTAGAAATGTCTAAGAAGGTATTAGACTCTAAAGCTCACGCTTTCAAACCCTATACCAGATTATTTACCCTTGAAAGTTAAAGGACACACATTCCTTCCCAAAATGAGACTAGATTTTAGGTAAGGAGGGAGAGCAGTTTTTAACTGACTTCTTGAATTAGCTCTTATACTCCTGGAGGAACAGAGAGTAGTCTGACCACTGGGTCCCTTTCTTCTGTTTCCCTACTGTTCTAGTCTTTCTCATATGAGGCCTCCCCTCCTGACACCAGACTATTCAGTACCTTGCTTCCCCCACAGCAATCCCTGGAACACAGAGGTTTGTTAAATGTGGTGACACTGAGCCAAAGACCTGAGAGAAATTAGCAGACATTTGGAAAATGCCCCTCATCCCTGAACTGCTGGACCCTAAGGCACATGTATACAGTTAGATGGAAACACAATGTTCAGTACTTCCACTCTAGGTTTCCAAGCCTGGCTCCATTTTGTAGTAGCCTCACCAACTCCTACTGTCCTTTACCTCTTTAGGTCCCTCCCCAATCCATCTCCAAGACCTCACCCATCACAGGCCCATGGGCCCAGAGGCTGCCAGTTTCTGAGCCTTTGTTCCTCCAGAAATGACCCTAAAGTGTTCATCAGGGCTCCATTCAGGATCCCATGGATCTATGAGGATTAAACAGAGCTGGCTGAATGACAAGCAGAAAGGACTACCAGAGTGGGACAAGCTGGACCAGTATATAAAGACAAAGGAATGGAAAAAGGACAGCAGACAGAACACGGGAACTAACCAGGGACAAGTCAGCATAGCTATCGGAGGTCAGAAATGAAGATGGAGAAGTAGGATGACTCCACACCTTCCTCCCACCCATGAGTCAAGCTGCCCAACACTTGCAGCTATAGAGTGTCTTCAAGGAAGAGGTCATGGTGAAAAGGCCACTGGAAAGCCTGGGCAGGAGGAAATGGAAAGATCTGTTTAGAGCAGGTGCTTTAAGATGACACCAAGAGAAATGGGCAGGAACTGGAGACCAAGCAACTGGCAATCCCCAAGGGGACGACATGCACTGAAAGCCGGGCCTCTAGAAGCCCTGGGCTACTTTCACATCCAATCCTTACCCTATCTAGATAAAAATGATCAGGGCACTGCCTGTAGCCCTTGCTAAGTTCTATACCAGATTCTGAAGGGTATAAGTAAGATTCAGAGGTATGGAACTTACCAAGGAGTGAGATAGCACCATCCCTGGTAAGTTTGTATTATGAAAGGAGACAACTCCATCTTGACCCTTGAAGAAACCTGGGATCTAAGGAACATATTAATGAAACTGAGGACTTGGTACAAATTAGTATTATCCTTGGCATTTCAAGGGACAGAGGGATAAACGGTGAGGTAACTCAGACATGGGAAGATCTAAGTTGGGTTCTCCGTTCTCCACACCTTAAGACTCAGCCTCATAGTTAGTTGTTATGCTGGCTCAGTGGTCTGGGCCAAAGAACTTGGTGTCCTCCAGAGCCATGGCTGCACTGATGTGTGGTTAAGTCAATGTTGTTGAGAACCCAGAATGAGTCTCTCCTTGGACAGCCCAGTGCTGTACCCACCCTCCTTCCCACAACAGTCTCTGACTTTGAACTGATGAGGGCTCTGCTACTCTCTTATGGTTTCCTCACCAACTACCAGAAGCTCTTGGAGTTCAGAAAGGGCCAGGTTTTCTACGCACCCCACAGTGCTAGAATGTGACAAACATTTGTCACAGGGGGACCAACAGTGTTGACTATTACAGACACTTCCCGTAACAGTAAGCACACGTCAAAAATATCCTAGTGTTATTCTTTGCCCTAGGGCTTGTATTTGACACCCATCTATCTCTATCTTTGTTGGCTCATGCCTAAAGATGTCTGTTTCTAAATTTACCTCAGGCTGGAGACTGGACCCCCAGCCTGTGAAGAAATTCAAGCTCTGCCCACACATGTGGGAACTCCAAAAGGATACTTGGCCCAGAAGACTCCGGGGGTCAGAGAGAGGGAGTGTCTCCCCACACTGGGCTGGCCCACTAGTAAGGATCCTTCCCCTTTCTGTCTCCTAACAGATTCAGATTAATGATGGCTCATTCCTAATTGTCAAATTTCTTTTCCTTCATCCTGTGTCTAATCACCAGTGACAGAAACCATTACGCAAATGAGAGCAGACGACTTCCCCCAACTGTTCGCGTTGGTAAAAACCTTGTAATTTAGAGCTCTGATTTGTAGGGGAAGCTGGTCTCCCCCAGGCATCCTGGGCATCTGCTCAACTGATGCCCAGAACAGTCCCTCCTCCTCCCCGTAACTCCAACCCCCCAGTAAATATTTGACTTCACAAAACAGTAGTTTTCATTGTACTGCTGGCATAAAAGTGAGAGCTTGCAACACAGCTGACCTCTAGACTAGCCCAAGTCTCCACCTTCCTTGGTACGTCTGTCTCGCAGGCCGGCTACAATGGGGTAAGAAATCCTGTAGCAGCAATAATTTGAGCCTGCGCAGCCCTCACCTAGGTAAGTGAACAGGCACCTAGGAATACTTCAGCCCTGATGCAGAAGTATCCCGGGACAAGCTGTGGGACCTATACTTAAAGGCACAGTGTATGCCCCAGGATCCAGAGTCCAGGCCTCTGCAACTGCTCCCAGTGCCCTTCACTTGTAAGATGGCTTCCCAGGCAGCTTCTTCATGTCTCTAGCTAGAGCCCAGAAGGGCTTGCACCCTGAAATAGATCTTCCACACCCTCTTGGGCTGAGCCTGCCTGCACACCGCCTAGTGGGTAAGGCCTGGGGATAGGAAGAAAACCAACAGTTGGGTGGAAAGGAAGGAGAAGGGGTGGGGTCTGCAGCCAAACAGCACTAGGTTTGAATCCTGATTGCCACTCATCACGTAACTCTGAGCCTCATTTCTTCATCTGTAAAGTGAAAAGCCCAACCTTTCAGGGCTGTGAGGAACAGAGATAAAAGCAACAGGAACATATTAGGGGTCTAAAAAGTTAGGGGTAACTACCATATCACTCTAGGGATCAGGACCAATCCCGTGAAGGTCCCAAAGCTAACTTCATTCCTCCCACCCAGCCACCATAGGTCAGACCTGTGTGATGCACAGGACTCTGAAGGATCAGCCAAGTGGACCCAGAGTCCCTGCTGAATATCACCCACACTTTTGAGGGTAGAGCCAGGAACACAGAGGATCTGTTGAGAACAAAAATAATCTGCCATCTTTCCGAGTGTAACTGTGGCCAAATTCACCCTCTATTTTCTTTGCTCCCTTGCTGCACTCCTCTTTCCCAAGAGATGGAGGCATGGAGTTTACTACAATCACATTTCCCAGCATTGGCTGTATTTGAAGAGCTATACTTGAGAAGGAACCAGGTCTGCACACCCATAATGCATCACAGAACCCAGAATGGGGCACTAAAATAAACACCCCTCCCCAACACACACAGGTGCGCACAAGCATACACATGCATCTCCTCAGTCCACTGGGGCAATGTAAACTGAGCTTCAGGGGTAAGAGCCGTAGCTCAGACACTGAAAGTAAACCTTTGGCAAGGAGGAAAAAAAAGTGGGAGAGAAGGGAATAAAATCAAACTTCCAGCTCAGATTTTAGAGAAAAGGACAATGGACAAAGGAGGTAAATGGACAAGATCACCACTCTGCCTAACTGCAGAGGCCCCACTCCCTCTGAACAGATGTGAATGATGGCCCTGAGAAGGGTTCCCATAAGCAGCTAATAAGAGAAAAGTAAATTCTACCTCTATGCTCTACCAGCTTCCCTACACCAAAGGTGTCATGGGACATTATGCTGGGTCTGGCAGAGGCACTGGTTTTAAGAGACAAGAGTACATTTTGCCCTTGCCCTGAGGTGGATGAAAGGTAGTGAGTTAGCTGCCTAAGCCTGACCCATTTCATCTACTCAGCCAGGAAGCTCATCAGGAGCAGGGGAAATGGCCTGGACAGGGAGGGACGTAGGGTCTGAAGGCTCTAGCCAGTCAGCCTTAGGTAGGCTACAGTGAAATCTGGCTAAGATAGAATGGCTAAAATCCGAGTTTAAAAGCTATGGGCTAAGTCAGGCAGTATCTGGGGCTCACACTGTATTGTCACATTGGACAAGATAGGCAGTAGAGAACCTTGGTAAGCACAGAGGCTGGCCAGTGTGGACACACACAGATACAAGTGTGCAAATGAGTGCACCCATGTGTACCCAAGTGTGCACACACATAAACACATATCGCGAAGTTCGTACCCCTGGAGCCTAAAGAAGCCAGAACTAGTAGAACTCCCTTAATATCTAGCACAGGGGCAAGAGCTGGTGCTGAAAGAGAAAAGCTGCATGTGCCTTTAATTTGGAACACATGCACAACCCTTGGCTCATAAGAACCAAGGTTTTGTTTCTTTCTATATATGGCTTGAGCTTGTAGGTCTCAGCTGGAACCCTATCTAATCCTCTCTCACTAGAAGGCTATCTAGGCTTCCAAAGACAGGCTTTTCCTCTCAATCTCCCCATTAGGGTCCCAGCAGCTGTTCCTAACCAGCCTGGAGCCTGACTATGCTGCAAAAATTGGCAGAAGGCAGGTTGAACTGATGGGCAGACTCACTTTGGTGCCACAGCCCAGATATAGTAGGGATACAAGAGCATCTCCATCTCCTTTCTCTCAGGCTGAGGCACCGAGGCTTCAGGAATAAGGGCTGAGAGCCAGAAGTGATGACATTAACCCAGAAGGAGGAAACATGGTACAGATACATGCATGTGCATGTATGTGTACACACACACACACACACACACACACACACACACACACACACACACACACACACACACACACACACCCTGAGGTTGACAGACAAACACACACAGACATGATGACAACCAGAAGCTGGGACTCCACACACTGAATGCAGGACTTTAGGGGGTCAAAGAGGGAAGGTGCTGGGGCACAAGAGGCAAGGGTGACATCCTTCCAAGCAGGAGTGAAGTGTCAACCACCCTGCCTTGCCTCAACACCTGCCTCCAGGGCCATGGCAAGAGTCCAGTCCATTAAGTGCAGCGTGCAATACTAGTGCTTGGAGTGTCCTGTCCTCATCAACGAAGCGGTGTGGACGGGATAGCAGTCACCTGGCAAGAGGCCCTGACCTCTGGCAGGCTAGTTGTAACGGCCTTTGATCATGGTGTTCAACAAGGGCCCCACCTGTAAAGAGACATGATGAGCCCATCAGAACGGCTATCCCCTGATTCTGAAGTAAGATTGGGTATGTCTAGAGACAATCAATGTTCAGCCAAGGACAAGGACAAAATGCTCATTTAATCTTGTAAACTCTCTAATCAACCTTCCTGAGTATCAGTTATTCTGGGGCACAGCCCTTTGGAAATCCACCTTATTTTATCTTCTGTCTTGTAATATCCTGTATTTCCAAGTAGCACCAAATAGACAAGAAAAGATCTGAGGAGCTAATAAGCCCCAAACACCTGAGAATGTGCCTGAAAAAATTTAATTGCTTCTCTATCTTCAACAAAAGGCCACCTACAATGGATCTTAGTGCTACTTCCCAACTCCACAGGCATCTCTGAAATTGAGACTAACCACAGGAAGGAGGTAAAACTACTAAAAATACAAACCTCCCTCCTTTACCCAATGGACCAGGACAGCAGTACACCTGGGTGGGAAGCAGAAATCAACACTACCTAGAGCAGCCTTGACCCAGCTGGAAATGCACAAGGAGATGCTTTATTGCATACTTCCCATTCCAAAAGAATCCTCTCAGGGGTCCCCAGATGGCACAAAAGTCCCACGGGGGACATTACTACTAGCATGGAACATATTATAATTGATCTGCCAGTCAGGCCCAGCTTTCACCAGAAAACAAGGATTTCCTAAATATGTACATAAACTATATGGAGAAAGGACAACAACTACTGAGAATGTCCCCCAACTCTGACTTACCTCTTGTGGGTTCCCCAGGGCCTCTCCAAGCATCTTCTCAATATTTCTCATGATAGCCACCTTCTGATGAGCTTTGAGAGGATATTCAATTCGCTTAGGGGTGGGAGCCCCCTACAAAGAAAGCAGCAGCTCAGGAAATGCCTTTAGCAGCAAGCTTCAGTGTTACCTCTCTAGTACGATGCTCCCTTCTAAGAAAAACAATTCAATCCTATTCCTGTCCATCTCCTTGGGAATCACTTCCAAGGAAGACCAACCACCTGATCCCAGCCAAAACCACTTACTATTCCTACTTTTTACTAGCCCACTTCCATACGGACATATACACAACACACAAATATACCAATGATATACAATATATCCAATGATAATACTCACCTTGTACCAGAAGTTCACAGTGATGGTAATCCCTCCATTTAGTAAAGACTCTATGTGGTGCCACCTATATGAAAACAAATAGGCTCCTGTTTACTTTTCAGAGACAAGGATGGAACACTAGGTACAGCCCAGTTAAGGGAACTAGAAGACAGTATCTTTATGCTCATCTCTAAAGCACAGTCGGCTGAAGGCGATGATGTTCACTTTCCAAATACCAAAGAAGTGAGTACAGTTTTCCCAGCCATAAGCTTCTCAGATTCTCTGTGGATTTATCTGAGGAATTGTCCTGCTTTTTTTTTTTTTTTTTTTTAAATTTTAGTTACTTTTATCTTATGTATGAGCGTTTCACCTGCATGTTTCTAAGTGTACAATGTGTGTGCCTGGGGTGCATGGAGGACAAAAGAGGACATCAGAGTCCCTGAAAATGGAGCTAAGGATAGGTGTTAGCCACCATGTGGGTGCTGGGAACCAAACCTGGATCTTCTGTAAGAGCAGTAAATGATCCTACCTCTGAGCCCTTTCTCCAGCCCCCTCCTTTTCCTTCCTTTTTTTAATTAAAAAAAAAAAAAAAATCTAAGCCAGGCATTGTGGTACACACCTTTAATCCCAGCAATTGAGAGGCAGAGGCAGGTAGATCTCTGTGAGTTCCAGGCCAGCCTGATCTACATAGAGAGTTCCAGGCTAGCCAAGGCTACACAGGGAGACCATGCCTCAAAAAAAAAAAAAAAAAATCCCCAAAACAAAACCCCTGTTTTTATTTTCTGTGTATGAGTGTTTTGTCTGCACGTTAAGTGCACTACATGTGTGCAATAATGGAGGCCAGAAGAGGGCAATGGATCCCTAGGAACTAGAGTTACAGATAGTTGTTAGTTGCCAGGTGGGTGCTGGGAACTAAACCTGGATCCTCTATAGGAGCAGCCAGTGCTCTTAACCACTGAGCAATCTTAGTATACTCACATCTGGATAAGCTAATCTTTACAGACAAATCCTGCTACAATTGAGAAGGGATACAGATAAAGCTTTCTGGGAATGGGAAAAGAAATGTATTCCCAAGGGGTCCCCACCCCTCATCTCCTCACCAATACATTGGGATGTAAAGAACATCACCAGGGCCAACCACTGTTTCATAACCAACCACATTTTGGAAATTGGGGAACCTTTCATAGTCAGGATTGTCAAAGTCCACCTAAAGGTCAAGAAAAAGAAAAAAGATCAGTCCAGTGCCTTGAAAAATATATTTGGAATTTATATCCAGAAGAAGATACAATGTACACTGAATACCCCCCTCTCTTAGAGAACAATTTGAGGAAGTCCATGCTTACATGCTACATGATAAAGAATGCCAGACTTCAATGCTCCTGTACTTCAGAGATCTCCTCAAAAGCCCAAGGACATGATGAGTTAGGATTCCATCACCCAAGCCCTTTCAAACTGTCTTTCCAAAACAAATACTAAACAGAAAAGACTCCTAAATGAAGTGCTAGGCAGTTTTCTCCTCAAGAAGAGATATCTCTGGCTGCCAAAATCAAGCAATATATGCTTCACTTATATCTAAATATACAGAGAGGGAAAGATATATCTCAATTTTATTTATTCATCTCCCTGTCAAAAAAAAAATAGCAGATATGACAAAAGAAAACAATTATTAAAGTCAATGGAGACATTCATATTTTGTTTGATGACACTGAATGACCAAACTAAACAACCTAAGTCCACCAACATTAAAGATGTGGTCTGCCCCCACCACCTCCAAAAATTTGCTCTATGGGCTATTTAGACTTACAAATATTTGGAGACCCCACAGGAGGCTGGAATATATGTTACGCTGTGAAATTTTTCTGTAGGCTTATTTGTAAGGCAAGGTCAGCCAGTAATGCAGCCTGACATAACACCACAGGGAAAGGCAAAGACATTCCAGATTTTGATCTCAAAAGAATTCCTAGAATCTGGAGTTCTACACCCCCTTCAGACCACATAAGCTTACCTGGCTCTGTCTGTCACATGGGTGATGGACAGGGTATGGATAGAGGCACTCAAACTGATCCGGAGGGAATAATATGCATCGTTTATGGCCTTTTATCTGAGCAAAGAAGTTCTGTTGCTCATCATAATGAGCAGGTGTTACATTTCCTGTAAGAAAGACATTTTCTTAGCCTTAGTGGCTCTACTGTACAGGTAAAATGCAGAGCCTGATGCTGACGTGAAACTCAGCCTGCCCTCCCAGCTAAGAGTTCTACATAGACTCCGAGGCAAAATCAGGAAAACTGCAATTACAACTCTTAGTAAATTCTCGTATTTTATGAGTAATAATTCTAACTCACTGGGTAAAAGTTCATCTGAGCTGGCAAAGCAAACTTCCTAAAGGATGGCTAATAGAAGCAAGAGCACCTCAAAATGACACAAGTCTAGCAGGACAATATCAACTGTGTATACCTGCACTCTTCTTGACTATGGCAAGAACTCAAGGGAAGCAAAACAGTCAGAAATGACTGGGATCAACATGCATCCATGCTCTATTCTGAGGAGTTAATCATTTTAAGTTCTCTGAGTATGTCTTGTTTGGGTAGCTCTTCTGGAGCCCACAGATCCACTCAACCGGTTCTTACTTCCCCACACCTGTGAGATGCAACACTTCTCAGAAAAACACTGGGGGGTCACTGGGGCTGCTGACTCTCAATGAGGGGAAGATTATTAAATTACTAGAGAGGGTTACATAATTAAGATACCTTATATAAAATGCCACCTTGGCCAGGCCTCGTAGTACAGGCCTGTAATCCCAGCTACTTAGGAGACTGAGGCAGGAGACAGGATCATGACAAACACACACACACAGCAATAACATAGTGAGACCTTGCTTCAAAATGAAAATGTTTTTAAAACGGCAAGTGATAGCTCAGTGGTTCAGGGCTAGGTCCTTGGTTAAATTCCCAGTGCCACGAATTTTAAAACATACATAAAAATAAAATGCTACCTTGAATTAGTTCTGTCCTAATGCATACGTTCCATCTATTCCTGTGTAACTGGGGTCACATTCATACCCTTCATACAATCTGAATTTAGAAAACATTCCCAGATGGGCATGGTGGCACATACCTGTAATCCCAGCACTCAGGAAGCTGAGGCAGAAGAACTATTGCAAGTCTGAGGCTAGCCTGGGCTACCTAGTGAGCTCAAGTCCAATCTGAGATATATAGTAAAACCCTGTCACAAACAAAACAAAACTCCCAGGCCAGCCTAGGTATGCCAAAACAGCTGCTTTCCTAATGCTAAGAGCCCACATGCCTCCTCAAAGGAGAATAGCTCTCTCATCTCTACCAGAGGCATCTGCTTCCCTGCACCCTACCACAGGAAAGGAAAGCAATGGGTTAACTCAGAATCAAGGAAACCAGAACTGAATTCTTTCTAGCAGACCAAACAATAGCTGGCTTTAAAGGGGCAGGTAAATGTTATAAAGTTACACTTCGGGAAACTGTTTTTTAACTACTGCCAGGAAAAATCCAAATCTGAGGAAACACCATTTACTAAATACCATTAGGTCTAACACAGAACTAGTGCTAGAAATAAAAATAAAAGCCCTGCCCTGCAAGTGGCATTCCTTCTCCTGAATAAAGTTAAAACACTTCCCCTTTCTATTCAAGTAAAGAAAAACAAAACAAAACCAAACCAGAAGAAACATTCATGTATTTGCTTCTGCCTGCATAAAATTCTCTAGCAGGAAATACAACACCTCTGGATAGGGATCTTGAGAAGCTGGGGGTCCTGGCAGAAGAGATTCGTGGCCAATACCTACTTCCACCCTTTGAATTTTGAACTCCATTAAACTTATTATTCATTTAAGAGACACTGTTGGATCATATTAGAAAAATAAGGTTCCCTCCTTTTCATAGGGATAAAGACCTTTTCAATACAGACAGATGCAATGGAGCACAGAGTATTTCAAAGTGGTCTCACATAGCAGCTGACAAAAAGAAAAAAAACCTTTTAAAGAGTGTATGAAACTACCTTAAATACTTAAAGTAGATGCTATCTCTTGACTAGTTATTTATAAAATGCTATCATACTCCTTTTGCAGATGAGGGAGCTGGGCTTTAAGAGTTCAATGATGTGTTCAAAGGCAAAGAACTAGTAAATGGTGGTGACAGGATTAGGAATCATGTTTGCCTGACTCCAAGACAAGCCACCTTCTGAAACGCTTCTTACCTTCCATGCCGATGAGCAGCAGGTTAGAGGTCAGTTGCCCCCAGCCACGTTTTCCCTGTTGCTTATTAATCCAGTTCCAGTTAAAACCCAAGAAGTCCATGACAATCTTCCTGCCTACAGTGTCATTGAGAGTTTGCTGCAGATACAACCTACATTCCCCAAGAAAAAAAATTTCATCAGTACATGAGAACAGTCCCTGGTATGTGACCCCTCTATACCCAGAAACACAAATCTATTACCAGCATCTCCAACAGAGAACAGCTGCAGCCATGTAAACCTTAAACAACATGGATTCTCATAGTGTATTCTTTTTCTTTGCGGGGGCGGTCTTTTTGAGACAGGGTCTCCCTGTAGCCCCAGCTATCCTGGAACTATGTAGACCAGGCTGGCCTTGAACTCAGAGATCCACCTGCCTCTGCCTCCCAAGTGCTGGGATCAAAGGTGTGCGCCACCACACCCAGTCAACCACGCCAAGCTTCTTTTTAAAGATATAATTTACTTACCCTTCTGGGACGCACTATGGACCATGTAAGAATTCAGGGTTTTACACAAAAATGCACATACACACAGAACTTTCACACAATTTCATTGTTTCTTGGACACTTATCGATAAAGCCTAGAACGATGAAGCTGCCTTCTTTCAGATTCTCAAAGTCTGACACATCTCTTTAATGGCCACCGTAGCTGGCTGTAACACTGTTTAGCAGGTGGTCCTTCCTTGTGGGAGAGTTAACTTTTTTTTTTGATGCAGAAAACTGAAATGTTTAATATACTACTATTTTTGTATTACATGGGAGAATTAACTTTTATGTCCACTAAAGACAGTCTTGCTTATTTAACTTGCTGTGACCAATGAAATGTCCACAGAGGGACTTGTATTGCTTCCAAGCATAATTTTAAGAAAGTCTATACTGTTGGGCGTGGTGGTGGATGCCTTTAATCCCAGCACTCGGGAGGCAGAGGCAGGTGGATCTCTGTGAGTTCAGGGACAGCCTGGTCTCCATAGTGAGTTCCAGGCCGGCTGGGGCTACAGGGAGACCCTGTCTCAAGGAAAAAAAAAAGTCTGTATTACTTTATCTTTCCTTCTCATATACCCAACTACAAACTCTAGATTATAGTTATTGGAACAATTTGGGTTCCAGAGTCAACAAGATGATGTGACCCATGAAAAACACGTGTAAGAGTGAGAAATAAACTCTGCTGTTTCAAGTCACTGGGCTCTGGCTTGAAGCTGAGTTTATCTTAACCGAGTCAGCCAGCTACCTGTAGCAGTCTTCTACAGCTACAGTGAGGAGACTACCTCATCTGCTGCAAACTCCAAGCTCCTAGCATACCAGAAGAAAACCACAAGTTCCTTAAAAGATATGAAAAGCCTAGACAACACACAATACATTAATAAGAGGGCAAACTTGACAAAGAAATAGAAGTAGTCCCATCCTTCAAAAGGCTCAAAGGCACTTCGTTGATTTAAATCTTAAGACTTAAAAAAAGTATTGATCAGAAATCTTAGTAAGTTGGAAAAACTAGCTATAAGGAAGCATCAAGACTCAATAAAACCTGTGGACTCTTCTATAGATTATAATATATATCTTTTTGCTTTGTGTTTTTAAATTTTAATTTATTCATTTTTATTTTATGTAAGTGTTTTACATGCATGTATCTAAGTATACCATGTGCATGCAATGCAATGCCCATGAAGGTCAGAAGAGGACATTGGATCCCCTGAAATCTGAGTTGCGAGCAGTTAGTTAGCTGCCGTGTGTATTGGAACTGAACTTAGGTCTTCGATAAGAGCAGTCAGTGCTCTTAACCACTGAGCCAGCTCTTAAGCTCCGTTTTTTTTTTTTTGGAGACAAGATCACATGTAACCCAGGCTGGCCTCAAATTTACTATATAACAGAGGCTGGCTTTGAATTCCTATTTCTCCTGTCTCCTGGGATTTCAGGTATATACTACCATGTCTGGCTATAATACTTAAAAATGTTTTTTTTTTTTTTTTTAAGTTTTTTTTTTTTTTTTTTTTGCAAGCTAAGGAGGAGGACTTTTTTGCATGTAAGAGTTCTATTCCCCAGACGTGAATGTAAACAATATTGCTATTACACATGAATAATAAATGCTCAAAATAGCTCAAAGAGGAGTCAAATACCTTTTATCCAATCAGAACAAGATGTACAAATAAAAACTTTTCCTTGAAGACTGTTTAATCACAATTAAAATACACACTGCCCTGGAATGAGTCTTCTATCATTCATACTTTAAAAAATTCATACTTAAAAATATGTTTAAGATTCACATCAGGGCTGGAGAGATGGCTGAGTGGTTAAGAGCACTGGCTGTTCTAGCAGAAGATCCAGGTTCAAATTCCAGCACCTATATGGTGGCTAACAACCATTCATAACTCCGGTTCCAGGGGATCCAGTTATGTCTTCTGGCCTCCACAGGCATTGCACGATACAGGTGCACTAACACACATGCAGGCAATACACTCATAAAAGTAATAAATAAATTTTAAAATATGCTGAAGGTTCATTTTTAATTGTGTGCACGTATGAGTGTGGGATGTATATGTGAGTACAGGTGCCCACAGAGGTCAGAGGCATCAGATTTCCCTAGAGCTGGAGTTATAGGAGGTTCTGAACTTGGGTTCTCTGTAAGGGGAACAAATGCTCTTAAACGCTGAGCCATTTCTCCAGCCCCATCATTCATACCTCGTGACACAAAATGCTCTCACTATGAGGCAAGACATTTCAACCGACTGCAGCATGTGTCATATCTTATGTTCATTCTTGGTCACAAGTTCACGTAATAGAATTGCAAACCCTAGCACCATTCGAATACATTTCTCTCCTAATGCTATGTGTGTGAGCATGCACATACATGTTGTGCTAAATATGAAGTGAATATAAGAGAAAACTCAAATCAACAAGCCTTGATAAGACATAAGAAAAGATCACACACAGGGCAGATCTTGGAACCTACTTTGGTCAAAGCCCATCAATATGACACCTGCTAAGTGTCAAGAAGAAATGAAAACCTAAAAAAATTTCCTTTTCAATTACATTTATTTATTTGTATGTATGTGTGTGTGGTACACGTCTGTGCATATACCCGGGAATATGCACATACATGCGGAGGTCAGGGAATAACTTGCAGAAGTTGGTTCTCTCCTTCCACTGTGTTAGTCTCGGGGATTAACTCAGGTGGTCAGGCTTGTTGCTAAGTACTTTTACCTACTCAGCCATCTCAGTGACCCAGAAATGAAGACATTTAAAATCTATTCATTTAGCAACATACTGCTGATAGGGCATGAGGAAGAGAACCAAGACAAGACACTACAGAGAAGCCTGGGTATGGGCACCAAGTGTGGGACAATCATTCACTATTAAGTACTCGGTGAAAGCAATTCCCTAGAGGAAATTTTGCAGTGTGGGGCTGAATATTGTCTGGGACTATATAATGCGCTAGACTTGGAATCAGGGATAAAAACAAAGAACGAGATTCACTCTGCCAAGTGTGTCTCATATCAGCAAACACCGGTACAACACAGAATATCTACAACTATTTTATTCTGATCTTCCCAAAGTGAGAGGATCCTACTATCCTTTAACCTTCAAATCGTAATAAACTATGTAACTTTTTAGCTTGCACTGTCCCCAGCAAGCACAGTATTTTACGACAAAGATTGAAAGCTGGCAATCTCTGAGTTTGCCTGACTCCCTACTTTAAGAAAAGAAAAAGTCACCCACACTTAAAAATCAAAAGTTTTAAATAAGAATCCTAATTTGGAGCTTGTCTTGAAAAATCAGACGATCTAGCAACCCTGGGCCAGTCATCTCAAATGGAAACAAGCAAAGAAACGATGTCTCATTTTGAACAGGGTATATATTCTTCCAGCCTCATTCTACTTTCCACCTGGCCAGGTTCCTGCACTTCATTTGCCTGACCCTTCAAGGCAACTGTAACTCTCATTATATAAAGAAGATACAAAATTAGATTCACAGTTCAAGGCTAATGATAGTCTCATCCCTCAAGCTAGAAAGAACCACTAAGAACTCAACGTCCTTACAAGACACAAGGGCAGAATATTCATTCTGCGTTTGGATGTCAATCTCTACTCACCCATGTCACCACACCACCAAACAAGTCCAGAGAGTAGAGGCCCTAAACCTAGAGGAAAACAGCGATCTGGCAACTTACCTCTCTTCGCCCCCTCGTTGCTGTATGTCCTGCAGTTTCTCAACAAACTCATGAAATTTCATTTCTTCCCTGCTGGACCTCGGCTTAAAGTTCTGGAAATTTGCCATCTTCTTCTCATCATAATATAAGAACTTGTGGGTGCTGGCACTGTACACGGAGAAGTCTCCGTTGCCAATATTTTCTTGCAGGTATTCAAGATCCCATTTCAGGGCAGGATACACAAGATTTGTGTCGGTCAGAACTACAGGCTCCTAAACAAAAACATCGGAAAAATCAAATGAAGGAACCTCCAAGGGGCTACTGAATTCTTTGCGTTGACGGCAAGTACTTTTCAAATTCAGAGCAATTCAGTCCAGTGCCACGAATTCTCCTTCCCGCCTCGCACATCCCACAGCCCCGCGGGTTTCGCACCCTCCCGGCCTCAGCCTCCCACCGCGCTCCCAGCAGGGCCCCTCCCCCAGGGCCCCTCCCCCAGCGGCCGCTGACCCGCCCCCCACCTCGTTCTCGATGAGCTCCTCCGCCCGGGGATCGCTCTGACTCAGGCGCGGGATGGGCCGCGTCGGAAAGCTGTAACTTCGCAGCTGGGATTCCTCCCAGACGGGGCCCAGGGCTTCAGCCTCTTCGCGGGGTTCTCCAGACCCGGAGGCCGCAACCTCCGCCGCAGTCGCCGCCATCTCCGCTCCAGGGACGGCCCCGCCGGAAGCGGAAGCTCCGCCCTTTCCGGGTGCAAACACAACGGACACCATAGAGATGAAGTGCTGGAGAGAACGGCCCCGACTCATTAAAAAGGCGGGGCGGTGGTCTGGGGACGCACCTCCTAATGGTGACCTGCTGCTCCACTCCGTTCCTGGAGGAGGGCCTAGACCTGATCTTTCTGAAAAGGGGTGATTACCTGGTCAGCCAGTCCACAGACAATACTGCCCAACCCTACACAAGAGGCAAGGAAGGAGCCAGTTTAATTTTTAAACTTTGCACTCCTGGGTGGAGGAGAAGAAACTCTAGACCCACTTAAGGAATCACTAGAAAAATGTAATAGTCACATTGATAGATCTTGGGTAAAGCTGTTCTGAAGGCCTAAGCAGAAGATAAATGGCAAATTGAATTCCTTCAAAATCAAGGGAAGGGGCTGGAGAGATGTTCAGTGGTTAAGAGTACTAGCTGCTCTTGCAGTGGACCTGGGTTTGATTCCCAGCATCCACATGGTAGCTAACAACCATCCATAACTCCAGTTCCAGGGGATCCAATGTCCTCTTCTGACCTCCATGGGCGTTGCATGACACAGGTGCACTTATATACATGCAGGCAATACACTCATATACATAAAATATGAATAAATAAATATTTTTTTAATCGAGGAAAGATCACAAGTTTGTAGTCCCAACTACTCCAGAAGTTGAAGCAGGAAGATTATTTCAGTTGAGTTCAGAGCCAGCCTGGGAACAACCACCTCTTTTTTTAAAAAAAGTAAAAATAGGGGCTGGAGAGATGACTCAGCGGTTAAGAACACTGTTCTTGGAGAAGACCCCGGTTCGAATCCCAGCACCCACAAGGCAGCTAACAACTGTCCGTAACTCCAGTTCCAGGGGCCCCCGACAGCCTCTTCTGTCCTCCATAGGCATTGTATGACATGGGTGCACTTACCTACATGAAGGCAATACATGCATACACATAAAATAAAAATAATAAATAAAATATTTTTTTAAAAGTAAAATAAAATTAAGGTTTCTTTTGTTCAGTATCATTTGATTTTTCTATGTCACCATCTCTCCTACTTAAATATATTCTTATTTAAGACAGGATCTCCTTGTAGCCACAGCTGGCCTGGAACTCACTATGTAGACCAGGCTGGCCTTGATGTCACAGAGGTCTACCCGCTTCTGCCTCCCAAGGCTGGCATTAAAGGCATGCACCACCAGCCCAATTTTAAATATATTCTGTGAGACCAATGTTCGTATTAGAGGTCAACCACAGACATCCACATTTTTCAAACAATCTATATTGGTTATAAAAGACCCTATTGATTCACTTGCTTGCTTACTAGACAGTTCTTATGGCTGGCTATGGGAGGTCAAACTCTAAAATGGATCCCAAGATGTGTACTCCATGGTGTACATACCCTGAATAAGCCTTTCCCCTTAAATGACAGCAGGACTTGTTACTATAATGGGGTATTGTTCCTGTAATTGTTACATTATGTGGTAAAGATATAGGTAAACTGCCCAATCAGTTAACTTTGAGATAAATAAAATGGAGATTTATCATGGGCGGGGCTGGCATTATCATTCTAGCCTTTTAAATCTGGGCCTAGTGGTCAGAGACAGAAGTCTAGGAGATTTGAAGCCATAGCACATACTGTCCTATTTGTCTTGAAGGATCAAACTGCCATGTGTCAGGGAATAACAGGTGGGTTTTTTTGTTTTATTTTTTTAAAGATTTGTTTTTATTTTATGTGTATGAGTGTTTTGCCTGCATGAATCTAAGTGTTCCTACCATGTGTATGCAGTGCCCACAGAGGCCAGAAGAGGGGCATCAGATACCCTAGAACTGGAGTTACAAGCAGTTGTGAGTTGCCATGTGAGTGATGGGAACTGAACTTGAGTCCTCTGCAAGAACAGCAAATGGTCTTAGCTTGAACTATCTCTCCACCCCTGACAGGTGAATTCTTCGAAGCCATGAAAGATTCTTGGCTGACAACTAATGAGAAAGTGGGAATATGGTCCTAGAAACACAAGTAACTGAGTGCTGCCAATAGCTACCATGCTTGGAAAATGACATAGAGTATCAGGTCACCCCATGAACACCTTGATTTCAGATTGGTGAGACCTTGAACTATGGACCCAGTGAACTGTGGACTCAACTAAGTGGTTCCTGTACTTGTGGGAAATGTGATATAATAAGTTGGTATTGTTTGGGGGGAGATTTATTATTTGTTTAAACAAATTTTTTTAAGTGTGTGAGTGTTTTGCCTGCATTACTAAATGCACCTGTGTGTGCAATGCCCATGTAGGCCAGAAGAGGGCATTGGATCACCTGGAACTGGAGTTAAGGACAACTGTTAGCCAACATGTAGGTGCTGGGAACCAAACCGGGGTCCTATGCAAGAGCAGCCAGTGCTCTTAATTGCTGTGCCATCTCACCATCTCTCCAACCCTGTTTAAACAAACTTTAACTTATTATGCAGCAAAAGAAATCAATACATTTGTCTTAACTATATAATTATGCCACAAAGTAACTATGATACAACTAACTGATAACAGGCTTATCTCTGTGGAGGGGTTTGGGGTTGGGAATGGCAATCAAGGCTTTAGTTTTATCTGAAGTGTTTTCATCTTAACAAATAATTTATAATCTTGGAAATTAAAAATAAATAAAATTTAGAGACTCAGATTACTAAAATCAGAATGAATGAAGAGACATAATACTGATTTTAAAAGTATAAAAAAAGAATATATAAGAATACTATGAACAACTGTGAGTCAACATCAGAGAGTCTAGATCAAATGGAAGAATTCCTAGAAAAGCACACACAATCATAGCTGATTCAAGAAGAAATAGAAAAATCTGACTAGCCCTATAACCAAATTGAATTAGAAATAAAAAAAGGCATTAAGGAAAAGCCTAGGGTTTTTAATGATGAGGTGGTCAGAAGACAATATGTGAGATCTTTGAGGGCAGAAAGTCTGGGCCTTGAGTGGGTGGGCAGCTGGTAGCCAGCGGTGATGACATTCTACTTAAAGCACCAGTAAGACTGCTGATTTGGGTGATGGAAATTGCTGGAAAAAAAAAAAAAAAAAAAAGACGAGCCTAGACGAAATAGATTCATTGATGAACCCTAACAAACATTTAAAGCAGAATGATAATCCTTCACAAACACAAGAGGAAGAAATACTTCCCAATTCATTCTATGAGGCCAGCATGACCCCATATATCAAAATGAAATAAAGACATTTCAAGAAAAACAGACCAATATCCCTTATGAATATGCATACACAAATCTCCAACAAAACACTAGCAAACCAAATCCAGGGTCCTAATACCATCACTAAATGGTATTAGGAATGCAATGTTGTTTCAACATTTGAAATACCAATGTAATATATCTTACTAAGAGAAGAAAAAAATATCATCTCAATATTCACAGTGGACATTTTTGGCAAAAATTAACACGTTTTCATGATAAAAGTAGAATTCCAAAGGATAGGGCTAGAGAGATGGCTCAGTGGTTAAGAGCACTGACTGCTCTTATAGAGGACTCAGGTTCAATTCCCAGAACTCACATGGTGGCTAGGAACCATCCTTAACTCCAGTTCCAGGGGAATCTGACACCCTCTTCTGACCTCTGAGGCATTGCATGACATGGGTATACTCACATACATGCAGGCAATACACTCATCTACATAAAATAAAAATAATAAATAAAATATTAAAAAAGAAAAAAAAAGAATTCCAAAGGACATCATCAAGGAAGTAAAAAGATTCCTTTAATCCCAGAGCTGGGGAGGAGGAGATAGGCGGATGTCTGTGAATTCCAGGCCAACCTAGTTTACATAGTGAATTCTAGGCCAGCCAGAGCTACATAGTGAGGCCTTGTCTCAAACAAACAAACAAACAAACAAACAAAAAGATATCCTGTGTCCCTGCAGTTCTATTCTTAGAGCATTATCTGAGAGAACTGAAAATATATATCCAAACTTGGTATGATGGTATAACCCTACAATCCCAGCACACAGCAGCACTCAGTAGGTCAAGGCAGGAGGAGCTCAACTTTGAGGCCATTCTGGGGCTACAGAGTGAATTCCAGGTCAGCCCAAGTTATAGAGTGAGACCCTGCCTCAAGAAGCAAGCAAACTGGACTGAAGAAACAGCTCAGCAGTTAAGAACACTGACTGCTCTTGCAGAGGACCTAGGTTTGATTCCCAGCACCCACATGGTGGTTAACAACCATCTGTAACTTCAGTTCCAGGGGACCTAACACCCTCTTCTGACCTATACAGGCATTGCCTAACACAAGCACTTAGATACATGCAGGCAATACACTCATACACATAAATTAAAAATAATAAATAAAATAAAAAAGAAGCAAGCAAACAATAAAACCAAAGAGCAAAACTCAGTAAAACAAGAATAAGAAAATACACAAATATATACATCTACATAAAAATTTTGTACAAAAGTGTTTATAGTACTACTCATAATAGCCAAAAAGTGGAAACAACCCAAGTGTTCATTAACTGATAAATGTATAAAGTGTTGTATATCCAAGCTGGGCATGATGGTGCATGCCTTTAGTCCCAGCACTCCAGAGGCAGAGGCAGGTGGATCTCTGCAAGTTCAAGGCCAGCTTGGTCTACATAGTGAGTTCCAGGCCAGCTGGGGCTACAGGGAGACCCTGTCTCAAAAAGACCAAAAAATAAAAATAAAAAAGTGTTATATATCCATACAATAGGCTATCATTTAGCTATAGGAAGTATTAATACATACAACACAGATTAACTTTGAAAATCTCATACTAAGTGAAGACAGACACAAAAGCCACATATTTTATGATTCCATTTATATAAAATGTAAAGAATAGGCCAATCCATAGAAACAGAAAGCAGATTAGTGGCTGCCAATCTGTAGAAATAGAGGAAATGTGCTAATTGGTATGTAATTTCTCTGGGGAGTGAGGAAACATTTTAGAATTGGATAGTGGTGGGGGCTGGAGAGACGGCACAG